TAAAAAATATCAATTTTGCCATTGTTATACGATGTTTAACAGAATTAACCTACATTTCGCAATTTCAATAATAAGATTGAGAAATGTCTAAAAATTACCGTCATTTGTAGACACGTCAGCGTAAATGACGGTTCCGTATAGGATGCAGGTTCTGAATCCTGTCAAAGGACGAATATTTCATATGAAAATTTCTTGACATTCAGGCTGGTAAATGTTATTTAATACTGTTTATTATAAACAGAGCATTTACTTAAATACTTGTATCTATAAAAAAGAACGTTAAACATAAAAATGTCTTTAATAAATATATATATATATATATATATATATTTGTTGATATATTGATAGATGGGTTTACGCTTTAGAAAAAAGCTTAAAAAAAGGGTCACAAACTCACATCAATCCAACCAAATATGTTATAATATTTATGATATTGAGCGCTTTTTAATAAATACCGCGCATATAATATATAAATAATTATATATATATATATATATATATATATATATAAATACAGAACTTTCATTACAAACAAACACATATATATATTCCTATTTTATTTGTACTGTTTCTCACATTAAAGGTATGCTGAGGATTTGAGAAAGATATTTAAATAATGCAGGAATGGTGTCTCTTGGCTGGGTAGACGCTCTTTCAGGGCAACGGATACATTCTGATTTTGCAGACCCAGCGATCAGGCTTTGCGTGCTTGGATATTCCCTGTAAGAGAAGACATTTCGCCTCACTGGGGATCATCCGGCCGATGGCTGCGGGGGAGCGTCCAGACTTTTATTCGGCAGATTGAGTCGTTCTTTACATCTCGGCAGGCGGTTTTAGCAGGTGATTAAAATGCCGTCCTTGGTCACGATATAGATCGTTCAACAGAAAGAACGGGTACTAAAAACCAGGACGTGAGGCCATTTCGTAACTTTATCGACGGGTTTGATCTTGTCTAGCTTAGAAATTAGTAACACGAACTTTGACTAACTATATATATTGAATTAAATGTTATCGATCGAAATTTTTAAAGTTCAATTTTGCGAATGACCAAGTTTTCGACTGAATCATACTTATATAAATATAGGTAAACCCATTGTGTGTGTGTGTGTGTGTGTGTGTGTGTGTAATTTGTATTTGTTCGTTTATATATTGATCGGATTTTACATTTTAAAACCGATTTATCTAAAATCTTCACAGGACTGCGTAAAATTACCTTTGCGGTGGTTCTGACAGCGCAAAAAAAAAAAAAAAAAAACATAATTGTTTTTGCAATGAAATCAATTTGAAAATACGAATGAAAGGGGGGACAGTTCATATCGAGTTATACTTTATAAAATCTAGGTTTTGTTTGTTGTGTGTGTGTGTGTGTGTGTGTGTGTGTGTGTGTGTGTGTTCCTTTATACATTTTTCAACCGATCTCAACAAAACTTCCCTTTTTTTAAAAAAGGTCAGCCTTTATTGTCTTAGAAAGTTTTTTTTTTTTTTTTTTACATTCAGGATGCTTTAAAAATTCCATTTACAAGACAATTGTTTATAATAAAATTCTATTCAATCGGTAGAGAATCATAACGATTTGAAAACAATGTTTTGTTTGAGTTTATTGTTTGACCAATTGGAAAAAAAAATAGCAAAAAACAAAAAAAAAAATAAACTAATTAAGACATGCGTGTATTAATTCAACCTTAAACAATAATCTTTGTTAATTTTATTTTTCAGTCTTTATGATGGTGGATATTTGATATATCTCTTACTGTTACATCCCCGGGCAACGCCGGGCTCTACTGCTAGTAGTTTATACGGACGTCTCATAGATTATGCTAAAGCCTTTAAGAAAGCACATCAAAAAGAATTGTTTGATATGCCATGTGAACTTGATTTATTTGTCAAGGATATTAAAATAATCCACATTTATAAAATGATTGAAGGCCAGAATGCATAATATAAAGAAAAATTTAGTTTTAATGAAAGGAGAAAGACTTTTTTAAGACGATGGTGTATCTTCTCGCTGATCTTATTCAACCTGCAGTAATAACAATAAGTCAATTACTAAATAACTCCCGACTCTTACTAATAGACTATTTAGTAGTCTGGAAACAAAATAATTATAAATAAACAAAAAAAAAAAGGCAAATTTTTTGTGAAGTTCTTTTGCAACTAAAAAAATAAATCGGGCCACATTATTTTAACATAGATTTTTATTATATTTTTTTGAATCAGGATGATCCTGGGATTAAAAATCTGCCCTTCATCTGGTGCTTGAACATCCAGTATAAGGATTTGTGTCCGGATGAAAAGGGAAGAGGGTAAAATTAAAATTTTAAAATAATCGAAAAAAATTAGTGATTTTATGTTGTTTTTTTTTAATATCTATATTGATCTTAAAGTAACACAAACACTTTGCGAAGTTATAAATTTTGTTTTCAGATTAAAATACCTCCAAAGTTTTGCATATTGAGGAAATCTTAATTTTTCAAAATGCCAATGTTTTGAAGTTCCGCAGACAAATTAAATTTTTGAAGAAATCAATTTTCGGCCCAAATTTATTTTGACCCAAATATAATAAATCGGATTTTCGATCATAAATTGAATTTTCGAAAGTTTTATTTATTTTCGGCCCAAATTATTTTATATCCAAATCAAATTTTCAAAATAACTTCGGATTTTAAATTAAAATTATTTTAGGTCAAATCGGATTTTCATGGAAAATCGGATAATTCGGGTTTCGGATTTTCGGTCCAAATTGTATTTTTCAGTGACCAAAATCGGATTTTCGGTATAAATAGGATTTTCGGCCCAAAAAGGATTTTTTTGGCCGGAATTGAACTTAGAAATATAGATCAGAATTAAAGTTATGTTTTGATGTTCCATTTAGAATTCAAAAAAAATTTCTTCAAAATAATCATTGCAAGTTTTTTACATATGAACTAGATGATTTTTTTTTGGGGGGGGACTAAAATATTATGATTACAGAAGTTATCTTAGAAGTAAATCCCACGGAATGAATTTTGGAAGTAATAAAAAAAAATTATTTTAAATAAATATAAAAAAATATTTCAAAAGAATATTAGTTAACAATAAAGAAAAATAATGTTAGATTATTAAAAATGAACTTAAATACAATATTGAATACTCCCATGATGCAGCGAAACAAACATTTTCCCGCCAAAAGAAACAAAAATAAAAAAAACTTTCACTGTTTTTGTTTTGGTACGACCGAAGAAGGCAGACCACCTGGACATTCACGGATAAAACATGTTGCCACCAACAGATAATATATTTTTATATATTTATATATTTATATTTATAAATATGAAAAAAATCATTTCTCTGAAAATGTATTCAAAATTTTAATTAATCATTTTTGTCTATGCTTGGATAATTTTATCTTAAATAGACAATATATTTTTTGAAATTTTAAAATATATATGTTATTGATTTGGTAACCTTTTTTAAATATAAAAACGCATACTTGAAATATATCGACTCATATTGTCGAATTCGACATATGAGGATCAAGCAGATCAGTTTCAGGAAACCGACAGCCCGACACCGGCACATGAGATTTGATTATAGTGGTGAAGGGTTTCGTGCAGGACCATCCACACTTTTTTGAAGGGCCGAATACAGAGACCTGGTGCACTAAATGCCACAAGGTCCCCAAACGACCCCCCTCAGGTTTTGAATTCAGAGTTGTCCTTCTTCTAGACCAGTTGCCATCCAAGGCTATAGAACCCAGTCTGTTCTGCTATTTTACCCATAGCTGGAGGGAGAAAGACCTTTCATACCTTTCCCAAAGGTATTATATAGCTTGTAAGTGGAAATTATATATTTATATATATATATATATATATATATATATATATATATATATATATTATATTGATTGAAAAGAATAAAGTTAGTATTATTTTTGAGCGATCGTGAAAGACAAACTTCGATTTTATAAAGCGTGAAACCCAGGGTCACAAACTCACATCTATTTCAACCAAATATGTTAGCTTTATAGTCTGATATTGAAAATTTTTAATATATTAACCGCATATAATATATAAATAATTATACATATATATATTTATTTATATTTATTTATACACACTTTTCATACACACACACACACACACATATATATATATATATATATATATAACGTTCATACAAGGAAAACACATCACTAAAAAATCACAACAAACGTTTAAAGTGAGATATGCAAGAAAGATTTAGAAGTGCTACTATGATTTAGTGTCAGGTATTGTGCATGGATTTATCAAATCTAGCAGAATTTTTAAAGGACAAATTTTTTTTTAATCCTTGTTGTCGAGAGAAATACGCAGAATATGGTCCAGAACCACTATAAACAGAAAAGGATCAAGTATGTCGCTTTGTAGAATTCCTGCTTTAACTTCAAAAAATCAGTCTCACCATCAGGCGATAAATTGGCAACGGTGTTTTTGTTGCAAAGAGATTTAATTGAAAAAAAACAATTTTGATGGCATACCGCAGCGTTGAAAGAGTTTGAATGTGGGATGCATGTAACAAACATCACAAGATTTGGCACTCAAATCTTCCATCTTCTTTAAAAGTCCAAACATTTTGAACACTGATTGAACCAGTTCTACTGTATGGATCAGAAACTTGGACACCATCTGTTCATCTCGAATGATGACTAGATGGAACATATACAAATCTACTTTTAGAAATATCCAGAACATCAGTTGGAGATGCCGTGCAACGCTGAACACAATTTACGGAGAACGGAGAATAATCTCACTTAATCTCAAACAAAAACGATTAGAGTTTATTCGCCACTGCCAAAGAACGGACAGGGAAATCGTCTCATCCATAATTGTATATTTTTTATATAGGTGTCGTTATACGAAAATTGATGAATCCCAGAAATCATAAATCGGGATTTAATATTGACATTGTAAATCTGGGAACGGCAATGCAGGACCGAGCAGTGTGAAAAGGGATTGTTAATGGAGTTCCGATCAACCATAAAGAGGTTAAAGGATGATCTATCTATTCATCTATCTATCTATCTATATCTAGTCATTCATCTTCAAATAGAAATGGAATATTTATTATCTATCTATCTATCTATTATTTATCTATCTATATTCATTGTACATCATTATTTATCTATCTAGTAGAGAATTGAAACTCATTATCTATTATCAGTCATGAAAAACACAGAACATCTATCTTACCAGTTATCTATCTATCTATCAGTCATTGTATCATTAAATATCTCATCTATCTATCTCATTCATCTATCTATCAGTCATTTAAACTTCATTATTATCTATCTAGCTACCATTGTTCATATATCTATCTATCTATCAGTTTTTTTACTCATAGATTATCTATCTATCTATCTATCTATCTATCAGTCATTGTACTCATTATCTATTTATCTATATATATTTTTATCTATCTAAAATTCATTGTACTCATTATCTAAATTCATTCATTATCTATCAGTCATTGTAACCAACATTATTAAATCTATTAAATATATATCAGTCATTGTACCATATATATCTAAAAAGCTACCATTAATCATTTATCTATCAATATATCTATAAATATATCATAACAATTCATTATTATCTATCATATATATCTATCTATTATCTATAATATCAGTCATTTATATATTATTATCTATCTATCTATATATCTATATATCAGTCATTGTATATATTATGATTCATTATCTATCTATCTATCTATCAGGAAAATTGTATTTGTTGGTTATATATGTATTAATATCTATTTATCAGTCAAAACATTTCATTATTATCTATTGTATCTATTAATCTATCTATCTATCTATCTATCTCAGCCTCTGTTCATATTTATCTATCTAAAAGAGCTAGAACCGCTTACATTCCCTATTAAAAGCCCAAACCTTTTGAACATTGATTGAACAAGTCCAACTGTATGGATTAGAAACTTTTAATATTATTTTGATCCAGGAAAGACGATTTATGGATGGAAACATATATAAATTATATTTAAAAAGATCCAGAACGTCAGTTAAGAGATTTGGCAATATGAACACAATTTATGGAGAACGGAGACCAATCTTAAAATTATTGAAAAAAAAAAACGAAAAATTCTAAACATTTTGAAGATTGATTGAACCAGCCCTACTGCACGTGCATTATCTGTTCGTGATGAAATATCACTGGATGGAACGTATTCAGATCTACTTAGAAAAATCCAGGAAATCAGTTGGAGATCCCATGCAACGCTTAAGTCAATTTACGGAGAACTGAAATCAATCTCTCTTAAGCTTAAACAAAAACTATTACAATTTGCCGACCGCTGCCGCCGAGCTGACAGGAAAAACGTCTCATCCTAACTTCTATGGCTTACTTCTAGAGGTGTCGTCTCACAACTTTCCGAGACATCAAGGCTTGGGGCTCGCGGTTGGATATTGGGCATCTGGGAATGGCAATGCAGGAACGAACAGTGTGGAAAGGGATTGTCAATGGAATCCCGCTCATTATTCATGTTTCTGTTGCTAATTCTTTCACACCTTGTAAACCCTTGTGTCTTAGCGGCTTTACTCCCTTACATGGAGTGCTATCAATTAAAAAATAGATAGATAGTATTTACAGTTGACCTGGCTAGATGCAAATTTATACTAATATTTCCTTTTTTTAAATGTCATTCGTGGAACTCCTTCCCAGCTCCAAGCTTTTAAGTCAATTTTAATCGGCAAAAATTTAAATGCAATGTCTATCGCTATCGATTGTCTTTCTTGATTAATTCTTCTTCTTCCTGCCTTTTAATAATTATGTTTCTGTTCCTAATTCTTCCACACCTTAATCCCTTTGTTTTAAAAATTTTACTGTCTTGCTTGGGATAATAAAGGAAAAAAATTTATATATATATATATATATATATATATATATATATATATATATATATATATAATAGACATATCTTTCAATCGATTTAATTGATCTACTAAACTTTCAGATCAAACAGGAGGAAAAGATGTTCGTAGTAATGCTGAAACGAAAGAAAACTTTGTTTATACCTTGTTGGACAAAATGAATTCGACTTTGGGAATCGTTCTCTTGCTCTCTTTCACTTGTCTTTTGCTTTGGGCGCGGGAAAAAGCGAGGAAAAAGAAAGAAAGAAAGAAAGAAAGCTGTTATTATTGAAAGAAAGAAAGAAAGAAAGAACGAAAGAAAGAAAGAAAGCTGTTATTCTTGAAAGAAAGAAAGAAAGAAAGAAAGCTGTTATTATTGAAAGAAAGAAAAAACATTGATTGAAGAAATGAAAAAATTATTAAAAGTTGTTAAATTGAAAGAAAGAAAGAAGGAAAAGAAAAAGAAAGTTGCTATTAACTTGAAAGAAAGAAAGAAAGAAAGTTGTTATTATTGAAAGAAAGAAAGAAGGAAAGGAAGAAAGAAAGCTGTTATTATTGAAAGAAAGAAAGAAAGGAAGAAAGAAAGCTGCTATTATTGAAAGAAAGAAAGAAAGCTGTTATTATTGAAAGAAAGAAAGAAAGAAAGATGCTATTATTGAAAGAAAAAAAGAAAGAAAGCTGTTATTATTGAAATAAAGAAAGAAAGCTGTTATTATTGAAAGAAAGAAAGAAAGAAAGAAAGAAAGAAAGAAAGAAAGCTGTTATTATTGAAAGAAAGAAAGAAAGAAAGAAAGATGCAATTATTGAAAGAAAAAAAAAAATCTTTTTTATTATTGAAATAAAAGAAAGGTTTCAAATTAAAGAAAAGAAAGAAAGAAAGAAAGAAAGAAAGAAAGAAAGAAAAAAGAAACTTTCAAACACTATTGAAGAAGGGGAATAGAATTGGCACGGAGAAAGAGGCGAAGCGACAAAGAAGGAAAAAGAAGAAAGAAAGAATTTTAAAAAATTGAGAAAGAAGCAAAGGTAGAGTAACAAAATTCGAAAAAGAAAGAAAGGAAAAATATTTGAGAAGAAAGATTAATAAGAGTAGGAAAATATATGCAAGAAAGAAAATTAAGAAGAAAAGAAAAAAAAAAAGAAAAAGAAAAAAAAAAAGAAAAAAAACTAAAGAAATTGAAAGAAAGAAATAATGAAAACACCAAAACATGAATAGGAAAGAGAAAAAAGAAAGAAAGAGGAAAGAAAATATTTGAACGAAAATCTAGCAAAACATGAACAAGAAAGAAAGAAAGAAAGAAAGAAAGAAAGAAAGAAACGAACAAACAAACAAAAACAAAACAGGCAAAATTGTGAAAGGGAAAATTTAAAAAATTATCCAAACGTGAAAAAGACAGAAAGACAAAAGAAAGAAACAAACAAAGAAAGTAATAGGAAATAAAATTGTAGAAAGAAATATTAGAAAAAGTAGCAAAACATGAATAAGAAAGAAAGGAAGAAAGAAAACAAGAAAGAAGGAGAGAAAAGAAACTTGAGGAAGGAAAAAATTGTTTAAGGAAAGATTTTAAAATGTAGCAAAACATGATTAAGAAAGAAAGAAAGAAAGAAAGAAAGAAAGAAACAAACAAACAAACAATGAAAGAAAGAAAGAAAGAAAGAAAGAAAGAAAGAAAGAAAGAAAGAAAAGAAAAGAAAACGAAGGAAAGAAAACTGTAGAAGGAAAAATTCGAAAAAGTTGCAAAAGTATGAATAAGAAAGGAAGAGAAAAAAAACAAATTCATCAAAAGAAGGAAAGAATGAAAAAAAGAAACAAAGAAACAAAGAAAGAAAGGAAAAGGAGACGAAACTTAAATAAAAGGGTTTGTCGTAAACAAAACGGTAATACAGAGTGCAGTAAAAATAGTCCCCTAGAAATACCCCCTAGAAATACCTCCCACATAATTGTAAGGCATTAGCTAGATAAAGACACCCAATGCTACTAATGTGTTTCCATTATCTGGTTGTTATTTCTGGGGGGGGGTATGTGTCGGAAATATTTCTATATGAAGTTACGCCCTAAGCAAAAGAAAAGAAAACAATGCGGGAAAATTTCCTAAAAAGAAAAAAAAAATAGAAAAATAAGAAGAGACAAAGAAGAATAGTTTAAGCCCCGCCCATTTGAGAAAAAAATTGTGGAACGGAACAAAAGCAAAAATCAGCCAATGACAAAGCGAGGAAAAAAAATTTTAAATCAAAACGAAAGAAAACAAACGAACGAACGAAGTCATTGTCGATGTTTGAATTGAACTGATGGCGATTAGTATTAAAAAGAAAATTAACAGGACAAAAATATAATTATAATATTGATGGAAAAGGGCTTCCGGAACTAGAATTCATAATGGCGACTGAAAAAGAACGAACAAAGAAGAAAACAAAAACTAAACAAACGTAAAAAGGAAACAAAAGTTAAGACCCTAGATATATCAATAAAAGAAGGGAAAATATCAAATAAAAGGATAGAAAAATATAAAAACATAATATAATATATATATATATATATATATATATTGTAATGACAACAATACGCAGGTGTAAGCTTTAAAAAGGCTTTATTCAAGTGAGAATACAATGTCCGCGTACAGTCTTCTTTTATAGTCCCAGTAAACAGAAATGGCTCTCTCTCAAAGGAGAGGGTAACAAAACAGGGGGAGACCACTCTTGATTATTCATAACATATATATAATTATAAATTGAAGGAAAGGACTTCCGGAGCTTCAATTCATAATGGCGACTAGAAATAAAATGAACAAAGAAGAAAAACAAAAACAAAAAATGCCGTAAAAATGAAAGAAAAGTAAAGACGCTAAATATAACAAAAAACAAATAAAAGAAAGCAATAAATGAAATGAATATATATATATATATATATATATATATATATATATATATTTAAAAGAAAAACAGACCAATTAAGGTACCATTATAATAATTTATTTCACCAGAGGCCTTTTAAAGAAGGCCGGATCATCAGATAGCACTTCCAAAAATGAAATGAAACGAAAATAAAATTGATGGGCAGTGTAAGTTTTTTGTAATTTAACAGAGAGTGTAAAAGGAGTAGTTAAAGAGACATGGTAGAGTATAGGGAGGGATTAATTTCATATCTCTCTCAAGTATACTTTGTATTGGGGGAGGAGGAGTGGCCAGACCTTGACCTATTTAGACGGTTAACTTAACGCAAGTGATATATTAAAATGGGAGGGGAGAAGGGAGAAAAGAAAAAGGAATTACCCATACGGATTACCAAGTTCTTCATAATTTAAATATATATAAAAAGGTGGATAATGGATAGCGGATTTAGATTGAGGACATTTTTAGCCGAGTTCGAAATTCCAGTCGATTCTGTATAACATTTTTTTTACGTTATAAATATTTTTGGGAAAGGTATGAGGAAAAATACATTCCCTCTAGCTATGGGTAAAATAGCAAGGACAGACTGGGTTCTATAACCTTGATGTCAACTTTTTTAAGGAGAAGGACAACTATAATCAAATCTCATATGCCAAAATGTTTTAT